GTCCATAAACTTGAAAATGAAACCATTAAGCCTCTAGACCCTGAAGAATTCCGAAAGCAAGGCCATATGGTCATTGATTTCCTCGCTGATTATTACAAAAATATTGAGAAATATCCTGTCCGAAGCCAAGTCCAACCGGGGTATCTCCGGCAACGGTTGCCAGAATCTGCACCCTGTGAACCGGAACCGCTTGAAGAAATTCTGGGAGATGTACAGAAAGACATTATTCCAGGTATTACACATTGGATGAGTCCAAATTACTATGCTTATTTTCCTTGCACTGGAAGCACTGCAGGATTTCTTGGGGAAATGCTTTGCACTGGATTCAATGTTTCGGGTTTCAACTGGATGTCGTCGCCGGCGGCGACGGAGCTGGAGAGTATCGTGATGGACTGGCTGGGGAAAATGCTAAAGCTTCCCAATGAATTCCTGTTTTCCGGCGGCGGCGGTGGAGTTTTGCAGGGAACTACCTGCGAGGCCATATTGAGCACGATGGTGGCCGCCAGGGATCAGATGTTGAAGAAGATCGGCAGAGAGAATATCAACAAACTTGTGGTCTATGGATCGGGTTTCAACTGGATGTCGTCGCCGGCGGCGACGGAGCTGGAGAGTATCGTGATGGACTGGCTGGGGAAAATGCTAAAGCTTCCCAATGAATTCCTGTTTTCCGGCGGCGGCGGTGGAGTTTTGCAGGGAACTACCTGCGAGGCCATATTGAGCACGATGGTGGCCGCCAGGGATCAGATGTTGAAGAAGATCGGCAGAGAGAATATCAACAAACTTGTGGTCTATGGATCTGATCAAACCCACTCTGCATTGCAAAAGGCAGCTCAAATCGCAGGTATCAACCCCAACAATTTCCGAGCAGTATCGACTACAAAGGCCAATGGATTTGGACTCACCGCCGAGGCACTCCGATCAACAATTGAGGCCGACATCGAAGCTGGGCTTGTCCCATTATTCTTCTGCGCCACCATCGGAACCACCTCTTCAGCCTCCGTTGATGCACTGATTCCTCTCTGTGAAGTTGCGAAAGAGTTCAGAATCTGGACTCATGTCGATGCAGCATATGCAGGAAGTGTATGCATTTGCCCCGAGTTCCGCCATTTTCTTGACGGCGTCGAAAATGCAGATTCTTTCAGTTTCAACGCACACAAATGGTTCTTCAGCACCCTCGACTGTTGCTGCCTTTGGGTGAAAAATCCAGGCGCCCTTATCCAAGCTCTATCGACCTATCCCGAGTACTTGAGAAACAAAGCCTCTGAATCTAAACAAGTCGTCGATTATAAAGATTGGCAAATCACTCTAACCCGGAGGTTCAGGTCCCTTAAATTATGGCTCGTTCTACGTAGCTATGGCGTCGACAATCTCAGAAAATTCCTCAGGAGCCACGTAAACATGGCGAAAATTTTTGAAGGCCTGATCGCCAAGGACAAGAGGTTTGAGGTGGTCGTGCCTAGAAATTTCTCCACTGTTTGTTTCAGGATTTCGCCGATAGAAATCGGAAAAAATCAGATCATCACCAAGGAGGAAGCCACCAATAACTTCAACGCCAAGTTACTGGAATCGATCAATGAGTCCGGTAAGATATTCATGACTCATGCAGTGATCGGCGGTGTCTATGTGATGCGGTTCGCAATCGGTGCGAGCCTTACAGAAAATAGGCACGTCAACTTGGCATGGAAGGCTGTACAAGACCATGCAAATGCCCTATTGAACACGTCGTGATCAAGAAAGGCAAAAATAAAACATTTAATCAGTTCGATTTGCTTTTAATAAATCGTGAATATTTCTTTTTTTGGCATAAGTTATTTATAGTTACACCAAATTATTTATTTGCCCTTTTGAAGGATTTTTTCTTTTCCCACTCCAACAGGAATAGTGCTCTACACGTATAATGCTATATTAGTACCACTGGTATTTCGTACTCGTCTATATGGTACTGAAGCTTACTTAAACTTGTTCTATGAATTAAAATTAATATTTACGTAATTAGACAAGTTTAAATATAATGTGCCACCTAGACTAGTAACAAATACAATTAGTGCTAAATAAATTACACTTACTCTTCCAAAATTTATATTCAGAATGTTTAACAATTATATATTGAAAATGAAAATTCCTTCAGTTTGGTGCACGTTGAATAATAATAATAATAATAATAATAATAATAATAATAATAATAATAATAATAATAATAATAATAATAATAATAATAGAGTGGACAATTTAGAATTAGATATTATCTATATAGCTAGGGATAAGGCGCGTAAAAATTTGATTTTGTCTTTCTAGTGTTGGTACATGAAGTCACGATCGAATAGGTATCTCAAGTATACTTAGATAGATATTAATTCATCTTGATCCGTAATCGAAGAATTCCAAGAAAATCAAAGAAAAATCCCGTATTCATCTTGATCTGTAATCAAAGAATTTCAAGGAAATCAAAGAAACAAAAAATTTCATCCTTCAAATATAGATCTTGAGCAGGCTTACAGTACTATTCAGAACTCTCACAAAGATGTTAGCTATATATAATATATGTTAGCCAAAATATAATATTATTGCATATTTAATTTCCTTCTTTTATAGGTTTCCCTTTTTTTTTTCTTTTTTTTATATAAAATTAGTATTTTCATTAGAAACCTAATTTTTTTGGTGGCTCAATAAATTATTGTTTTCTCTCTTTCTTCTTCTACTCCTCTTTTCTTTTCTTCCCTTTGAATTGATTCACTATATTGGTTCAAGTTAGTTTATACCGTTAGCAGTTATATCATGTGTCTTAGTACTATATCGTTACTGACTTTATAGGAATTTTGCAGTGTAGGTTCCTAAAATTTTTAAAATGTGGAGTGCAGTTTTAAAACTTTAAATCGTATCAATTGCATTTCAAATCTTTCAATGAATATGCGCCTGAAGGATCTCAGGATGGATTCTGTACAAGGGTCATTATTTAACATAAGGTTGCATTTGACAATTTTTAGAAAGTGTAAAATTATAACTCAATATATTCTCATCTAAAAAATTACAAAAGAAAAACAAAAGAAAAAGAAAAGAAATACCACAACATTCTTCATCAAAAAAGCACAACAATGTAATGTAGAGAGAGAAATGAGAAATGGGGAAATGAAAAAAAATAAATAAAAATAAAAATCAGAGAGCAATGGAGTCTGATTGAAGCTGCGGTTGGGTGAGGGGGCTGAGGTTTTGGTGGTTGAGGGACGTGAAGAATTATATTTTTTATTACAATTATTTTTTTTCTTTTTTATTTTTATTTTTATTTTTTTAATTGAATTATTTCATTCAGGTAAAAAATATAAAGTTATCATTTTGTTCTTTTTATTAAATTATTTCAGGCAAGAAATATAAAATTATTTTTGTGGTTCTTAATTTGGACCGAATCCGTCCATAAATCCGACGAGCACGCATTTATTGAAAATGTTGGAACATAACTTCAAAAATTTAAAGGTTTGGGATCGTGCTATACATTTTTGAAAGATTTGAAACCACGTAGCATATCTTTGAATAGTTTTGGACCTTGCTGCAAATTTATCTAGTTTACATTAAGATTTAAGATTTCATCTAAATGATCAACCTCGTGAAAAGAATAGTCCAAGTTCTTATATTTTAATTTATATTTCGATAATAAATCTATATGAAATTTTTTCATTAAACGTCTACACATTGTGCTGCTTGATGCATCATACATCCATTAATTATTTTTGGCGTATCCATTAATTTTTTTCTATTATTTTTGTACAAAAAATCCATTGAATTAATAAATAATACGGGGTCTTATACAGCTATATGATATTGGAGCATCCTGCATGTACAGGAGTCTATTTTACATACCCCTGCCAAATATAACACATGCGTGGGCCTCGGCATAATTTTTTTTTTTTTTTTTTTTTTTTTTTTGTGGGATTCACCCTTACAATGAGAGGTCGGTAAGATTTCTGTAAGGAAATGCTCTGTGTAAGGATCATATGATATTATACACATGTACTTTCAACTACGTCTACTATAAATTGGACAAAGATTAGCACATATCCCAATTATTATCATTTCTTTATATTCATGCAAAAGAAAAAGGAAATTCTTGACCCAATTTGAATGAAATTATTTATACACGTGGTTTTACAACTTATTAATTAATTTAATGTGATTTTGCACGTAAAAAATGTGTAATTGAAAAGTATAAAAAAAATTATGAATGAGTTTGGAAAAAAAAATTTTAAAATGTACGGAACTTACAAGAAAAACAAGCAACATTGGATAAAAAAATTAAGCTAGTGTGCAACTAGTTTGACACCCTTTGAGGTGTCAAAATCGAAGATATTGATTTGAACAAGTGTTTTTATAATTAATGGTAAAATTGTGTGTCCTGTCAAAGAATGTAAACAAAGTTGTCAACCATGATAGAAGTGTGGCGAAATTAGATAAACTCCCATTTGATCCCATTTTTGGAATAAAATGCATTATGGAACAGTGATTTTTTGTAGATTATGTGGTTAAAAAATAAAGAAATTTTTTTCCTAAAATACATGTATAATTATTTTATGAAAAAATGTGTGATTAAAAATAAATTTTAAAAAAAAGTACATTCTTAAAAAAAAATGGCTCAATAGGGGGCAAAAAAAGTGATTATCTATAAAATAAGGGCTGTGCTACACTTATAAAGGTGGATTATAAAGTTGGTTGACAAAATAATATCCATACCAATCATTTCAAAATAGATTTTTAAATTATTTCAAATCAATAGCCTAAATTTTGTCAACAAAATTTGTAATTCAACTTTTATAATCTCACTTTGTACAAATGAGTAAAACTCTCTGTCCGGACTTGGGAACAAGGTTGAAGACATGTGACGCCACCTATTGGAGGGGCACCTGCGAGGCACATATGTCGTACAAATAGCTTTATTGATAAAATAATTGAACGCGCCCATCTACTCTACTAAGCAGATATGTCCCTTCTGTCCATGCCTACTCTATATATGTGTGCTCATTTGTGAACTGTTCTTTCCAAAAACTCAACAAGTCTCAAGATCTTCTTCTAAAAAGCTACTTTATTCACTTATAGCTATCCAAAATGGAAAGCATTCAGAACCAGGTCCATAAACTTGAAAATGAAACCATTAAGCCTCTAGACCCTGAAGAATTCCGAAAGCAAGGCCATATGGTCATTGATTTCCTCGCTGATTATTACAAAAATATTGAGAAATATCCTGTCCGAAGCCAAGTCCAACCGGGGTATCTCCGGCAACGGTTGCCAGAATCTGCACCCTGTGAACCGGAACCGCTTGAAGAAATTCTGGGAGATGTACAGAAAGACATTATTCCAGGTATTACACATTGGATGAGTCCAAATTACTATGCTTATTTTCCTTGCACTGGAAGCACTGCAGGATTTCTTGGGGAAATGCTTTGCACTGGATTCAATGTTGCGGGTTTCAACTGGATGTCGTCGCCGGCGGCGACGGAGCTGGAGAGTATCGTGATGGACTGGCTGGGGAAAATGCTAAAGCTTCCCAATGAATTCCTGTTTTCCGGCGGCGGCGGTGGAGTTTTGCAGGGAACTACCTGCGAGGCCATATTGAGCACGATGGTGGCCGCCAGGGATCAGATGTTGAAGAAGATCGGCAGAGAGAATATCAACAAACTTGTGGTCTATGGATCTGATCAAACCCACTCTGCATTGCAAAAGGCAGCTCAAATCGCAGGTATCAACCCCAACAATTTCCGAGCAGTATCGACTACAAAGGCCAATGGATTTGGACTCACCGCCGAGGCACTCCGATCAACAATTGAGGCCGACATCGAAGCTGGGCTTGTCCCATTATTCTTCTGCGCCACCATCGGAACCACCTCTTCAGCCTCCGTTGATGCACTGATTCCTCTCTGTGAAGTTGCGAAAGAGTTCAGAATCTGGACTCATGTCGATGCAGCATATGCAGGAAGTGTATGCATTTGCCCCGAGTTCCGCCATTTTCTTGACGGCGTCGAAAATGCAGATTCTTTCAGTTTCAACGCACACAAATGGTTCTTCAGCACCCTCGACTGTTGCTGCCTTTGGGTGAAAAATCCAGGCGCCCTTATCCAAGCTCTATCGACCTATCCCGAGTACTTGAGAAACAAAGCCTCTGAATCTAAACAAGTCGTCGATTATAAAGATTGGCAAATCACTCTAACCCGGAGGTTCAGGTCCCTAAAAGTATGGCTCGTTCTACGTAGCTATGGCGTCGACAATCTCAGAAAATTCCTCAGGAGCCACGTAAACATGGCGAAAATTTTTGAAGGCCTGATCGCCAAGGACAAGAGGTTTGAGGTGGTCGTGCCTAGAAATTTCTCCACTGTTTGTTTCAGGATTTCGCCGATAGAAATCGGAAAAAATCAG